TTAATCTTGCCTTGCAAATTGATAACCTGCATTCTGACTTTGCTTCTTTGCTTTGCAGTCAGTATGACCTCTGCCGAATATAAAAAGTTTTTGCCCAAGAAAACCGGAAAGGGAAAGTCAAAAGAAACTGCCCCTCTTGAGTCAGAGGTTCCGAAGAAAAGGCGGATGGATTCCATACTCGGCGGTAGCTCGGCCGACGCCGGGGTGATTATGGTTGATGCGCGGGCTCCCGCTTCGTCGCCGCTCTCAGTTCCCCCCTCTGCTCTCCCAGGGAATTTGGTCAGCCTTGAGCCTGGGGAATTATGGAGAACGGGGGTTTCGGACCGCCTTAGGGCCGTATTGAAGCCTCCTCCTGGGCTCATTGGGAGTTCGGGCTTGACCTCTACTGTGAGGGCCATGTTGGCACGGATGGAGGAAGATTCTTTGAAGACGATCTCGTTGCTTCAAACCTTTCAGGATCTTAATCAGAGCCTCGATTTGTCTATTGCTCCTAACTCATCTCTTTCCACCAAGGTGGAGGAGCTGAGCAGGTCTAAGTCGACTTTGGAGGGCAGAATTCAAGAGCTGTCCTCAGAGCTAGATAAGACTAAGAATGACTTGGAGGTGGTTACCGCCAAGGCTAATTACTTGCGTGCCGAGAAGGAGTCCTTCTCGGAGTCTATTATGGAGAAGGATGCTCGACTTGCAGACCTGCAGGCCGACTTCGAGGAGGCTAAAGCTGTGGTTGCAAGAGCCGCTATTCAAGCCTTCGACAATGCTATTGCTAAGGCTCAAGTTCTAAATCCCGGCATGGTGGTGGATGGCATGGACGTAGCCTATGAGGTTAAGGACGACATCATAGTCCCTAGAACCCCAGATGCCGAGTCCACTGATGAAGGAGAGGTCGGATCTGAATTTCGCGCCACTTCACCTCCTGCTGAAGAATGAAGGGGTCGGAATGCCGACCTTATTATGTTGTTTTGATTACGGGGCCCTTGAGCCCCTTTTTTTATTTTGTCTGAACATAATTGCCGCTTTAGTTCGGCTCTTTAAATCGTATGTCTTTAATTCCATTTTGCCGATATCGTGGCTTCTTTTTTTACTTATAGTTTGAAGCTTTATTTCGATCTTGCCGTAGTCGACTTATAATTCGTCGAGTTTCGGCCGACCTAGGATTATTCTTTTGTTCGTCAACAAAATTGTTATTCCTTTTTGGTCATGAAGCTCCGGAGGCTTCAATTACTTGTGTGGAAATCGATATGCATAGATAACAGAAAGTAACTGCTCTTTTTATTTGTATTTCAACGAAATCTCTTTACAAGGGCTAAGCTTAAAAGCTCATTTTATTTGCTTGGAAATAAATCCACCTATTGGCTGAGCTTAATAGCTCGCCTTATTTGCGTAGAAATAATTCTAACTATTGACCGAGCTTAAGAGCTCGTCTTCCTATTTCGAACTTCGAATATGAGACCTAGCTATAGTAGACCTTTAACTTGTCCGCGTTCCAAGTCCTCTTTACTGGTTTCTTGGAAATAGTTTCCAAGGTGTAGGCTCCCTTTCCCAGATTGTCTTTGATCTTATAGGGACCTTCCCAGTTTGTGGCGAGCTTTCCATCTCTTGCATTCTTGTTGCCGATGTCTGCTCTACGCAGGACTAAGTCACCACTTTGAAATGATCGGGGTCGTACTTTTTTATTGAATCTGGTCGTAACCAAACGCTTGGCCATCATATTCTTATATCTGGCATTCTCCCTGCATTCGTCCAGTAGGTCGAGTTTCACAAGGAGTGCTTCCTTGTTTTGGCTTTCGGTTCTTTGTAACCTCTATACCCTCCTCCAGGACGGCTCACCGATTTCCACCGGAATCATGGCCTCGCACCCATATGTCAGCTTGAAGGGGTTTCTTCCGTGGCAGATTGGGCACTTGTCCTGTAACCCCATAGGACGAGGTGTAGTTGTTGAACCCAATTGCCTTTGGCTTCAAAGAGCCTCTTCTTCAACCCGTTGATGATCACCTTGTTGGCAGACTCGGCTTGTCCGTTAGTCTGAGGGTGCTCAACTGACGCAAACCGATGTGTGACTTTTAGGTCGGTCATCAACTCTCGGAACTTTTTGTCAGCAAACTGAGTTCCGTTATCTGTTATTATCTCGGCAGGAAGCCCGAATCGGCTGATAAGGTTTCTTTCAAAGAATCTTCGTATCCTTGCCGAGGTAATGGTGGTGAGGGGTTCGGCCTCGATCCACTTGGTGAAGTAGTCGACAGCCACTATCAACCACTTGAGTTGACCTTCAGCCGCAGTAAAAGGTCCCAGTAGGTCCATCCCCCATTTGAAGAATGGCCATGGAGCCGTGATAGTTTGCAGCTCTTCTGGGGGTGCATGGAGGATCAACGCGTGCTTCTGACATTGTTCGCACTTTTTGACGTGCTCCTTCGCGTCTGCCTCCATAGTTGGCCAATAGTATCCTGCCCTTAGTGCCTTTCTGGCCAGGGCTTTTCCTCCCATGTGATGCCCGTTTATGCCCTCATGAATCTTGGCCAGCACGTATTCGACCTCATTCTTGCCTAGGCACTTCAGCATGGGTGTGTAGAAACCCTTTTTGTAGAGTTGCCCCTCTATTATGGCGAAATAGGCCGAATTCCTCACGAGCTTTCTGGCCTCTTGCGTTTCGTCTGGCAGGATTCCTTTTTCCAGGTAGGCCACTATGGGCCTTCTCCAATCCTCAGCCTCGGTTATCACCATCACACACGTCGGCTCCAAGATGCTCTGTTGTATCATGGTGCGATGATTTCCTGGGCCCTTTGAGCTGGCAAGTTTGGATAAGATGTCGGCCCTATTATTCTCGTTTCGAGGTATGTATTGGATTATCACCTCGTCAAACTCGGCTAGCAGTTCCTTGACCTGGTGGAGGTACTTCATCATGAGAGGACCCTTGGCTTGATATCTTCCCTCAACTTGTGAGGTAACCAGCTGCGAATCACTCATAATTTTTATTTTTCTGGCCCCGTGCTCTTTTGCTTGTACGATTCCGGCAATAAATGCCTCGTATTCAGCTTGGTTATTAGAAGTCGGGAAGGCCAGATGAAGTGAATGCTCAATGGACACTCCTTCCGGGGTCTCAATGATCACCCCGGCTCCGCTCCCCTTGGAGTTGGACGATCCATCTACGTGTATTGTCCAGAGATCTTCGTTCCCTTTTCCCTTTTCATTGGATGGGGTTAGCTCCAAGATGAAGTCAGCTAGCGCTTGGGACTTTATCGCCTGCCTGGGCTTATACGCAATGTCGAACTCCGAGAGTTCGACTGCCCAGTTTATCATTCTGCCAGCGAGGTCAGGCTTGTGGAGGACTTGCCTGATGGGCTGATTTGTTCGCACAATAACTCGGTGGCTCTGGAAGTAAGGTCGGAGCCTCCTTGCCGTGGTAAGCAGTGCGAATGCGACTTTCTCGAGCTTCTGATAAAGAAGCTCAGGCCCTTGCAAGGTTCGACCTACAAAGTAGATCGGCTGCTGTGTTTTGTCATTCTCCCGTACTAGGGCGGCACTAACGGCTTCTTCCCCAACTGATAAGTACAAGATCAGCGTTTCTCCGGGCTCTGGTTTGGACAGTACAGGAGGAGTGGCCAGGCAACTCTTAACATTTTCGAATGCGTTCTTGCATTCTTCTCCCCATCCGAACTCGGCTTCCTTTTTGAGGAGCTTGAAGAAAGGCAAAGCCTTTTCTGCCGATTTAGGCAAGAATCTGGTTAGGACCGCAAAACGTCCAGTGAGCTGCTGAATTTCTTTTTTGCTTTCGGGCTGCTTCATTTCAAGCACGGCCCTACACTTGTCGGGGTTCACTTCTATTCCTCGGTCGGTAAGCATGAAGCCCAGGAACTTTCCAGCTGGTACCCCAAAAGCGCATTTCGCCGGGTTCAGCCTGATCTTGTGAGCTCTCAACTGCTCAAAAGTTTCCCTGAGGTCGCTTATATGTGCTAACATTTGCAACGAATTGACAATCATGTCGTCGATGTATACCTCCAGGTTTCTTCCGATCTGTCCTTGAAAAACACGGTTCATCATCCGCTGATATGTCGCCCCTGCATTTTTGAGGCCAAAGGGCATGACTTTGTAACAAAAATTGCCCTTCTCAGTGATGACGGCGGTTTTTTCGTGGTCGTCAGGGTGTAGCGGAATTTGGTTGTACCCCGAGTATGCATCCATAAACGATAGTAGCTGAAATCCTGACGAATTGTCAACTAGCTGGTCAATGCTCGGCATGGGGTATGAGTCTTTTGGGCAGACCTTATTGAGGTCGGTATAGTCCACGCATATCCTTCATTTCCCACTTGGCTTTTTTACCATCACTACGTTAGACAGCCAAGTGGTATACTGTATTTCCCTGACGAATCCGGCTGCCAGCAGCTCGTCGACGTGCTCATTTAATGCATGACGTCGGTCGGATCCTATCTTCCTCTTCTTTTGGGATACTGGCCGTGAACCGAGGTACATGGAGAGCTTGTGGCAGCAGAAGGTTGGGTCAATTCCAGGGATTTCTAAAGCTTTCCAAGCAAATACGTCGCGATTTTCCTTTAACAAAGAAACCAGCTCCTCTTTGAATTCAGTCCTTAGGTCTTTTCCCACCTTGGTGCGTCCTTTGCCGTCTTCCGCAATCTCGGCATCCTCCAACTCTCCTTGGGGTTCTGGACGAGGTGCCAAGAGCTCATCTTTTACGTCGAGTTCAACCAAGTTGACCTCCATGATGGACTCGTAGAGTCTCGTAGTAGCACTTTCTTGATTCTTCTTGATCACCTCTTATGGTGACGATCTCGTTGTTCATCCCAGGCATTTTCAATGCTTGATGTTTCGTGGAGATCAGCATATCCCATTCATGGATTGTGGGCCGACCAATGATTACGTTGTAGGAAGACGAGGTGTCAACCACAACGAAACGAACCCTTCCAGATCGGAACGAGTCCTTCGTGCCCAAGGTCAACTTTAGGTCGATGTAGCCTTTTGGAGGGGACGCCGCTCCATTGAACCCGACCAGCTCGGTGACGCATGGTTTCAAGTCCTTCTCGTCCAAGTTCATCCTCTGGAAAGCGTCCCAGAGAATTATGTCAGCTGAACTTCCGTGGTCAATAAAAATTCTCTTCACTCGGCAATTGACTAGTACTCCAGTGATCACCAATCCGTCGGTGTGTCCGGGTACAACCATTGCTAGTTCCTCTTGAGTGAAGAACAGTCTTGGGGGAGCCGGCTTGCTGTCCTTTTCTTTGAATGTTGGCCTGTCCCTTACAGACATGACCTCTTTCAGGCACCTTCTTCTGGCGTTAGCCGAGTCTCCTCCCCCACCTAGAGCTCCACTTATCACGTTGTATTCGAATTCGGCTTCAGGAAAAACGTCGTCTTTTTCATCGACCTCTTTGCCCTTGGAAGGTCGGTCTTGTCTTTGGTCCTTTCGATCCTCTCTCTTTGGGCTTCGACTTCGGCTTCGGCTTCTTTGCTTGCGCTTATTATTTTTCTTGCCCTGTGTTCGGATGATATACTACTTTAACTTTCCCTCCCTGACGCGCTTTTCAATTGCATCTCGGAGGTCCCAGCAATCATCTGTAAAGTGACCGTTTTGGTCGTGGAATGCGCAGTACTTGCTTCTATCTAATCCGAATTTGGCTTTGAGGGGTCGAGGTCTCTCGAAATTGCGCATTTCGGTCTGTGCTACCTCTTTCCATATCTTGGATCTGGACACGTTCAAGGGTGTATAGTCGTCGTATCTTCTCTTTGGTGATCGGTCCTCCGACCTTTTATCACGAGCGTCCTTTGCTTTTTTGGATCCCTTCTGGTCCCGGTCTTTGTTATTTTTCCTACTCGGGCTTCGACGTGCGGGGCTTCGTCCTCGTGACTCGACATAAACCTTTTGCATGTCCTCCACGTCAATGTATTTGTCCGACCTTCTCCTGAACTCCTCTAGATCATTCACCGGGTTCTTATAGATAGATGTCGCCAATGGGGAGTCGCTATCCAACCCCGAAATGATTAAGTGGAGGTGCACTGCCTCAGTTAACCCTCGTACTTTGAGGGCGGCATCTTTGAACCGGTCGAGGTACTTCCTCAGCGATTCGTTCTCCTTCTGCCGTATTCTTCCCAAAGCATAGGCTGGCATCAGATGCACCTTGCTTGTTGCAAAGTTAAGTCGGAAAGTCCGAGCTAGGTCCTCAAACGAGTCGATTGAGTTCCTAGGGAGCCTGGTTATCCAGGTCATCGCTTGACTAGTCAATGTTGTCGCAAAGATCCTGGCCTTAATAGGTCCAGTGATCCCGTTGAATAACATCTCAGTTTTAAAAGCCTCTAAATGGGCTTCTGGGTCCTGACTTCCATCGTATGGAGGTATCCTGGTGCTCTTGAATCTCGGCGGTATGGCCAAGTTCATGAGCCTCTCAGTGAATGGGCTATCATTAGCCTCTTCATCCTCCAGGTAATTTTCATCCTGGTTGTCGTTCGGACCACCACCATTTCGGTTGTTACCGAGGTTAAGGTTCTGCCCATTCTGCGTGTGCCCTTCGAGTGTAGCCGCGTTCTGTTGCCGCGGTCCTCCATCGCCAGCATTGCCGGGCCTTCTAGGTCGATCTCCAACGATTTGATGCTGGAGGTCTTCAGCATTCTGATGTTGGGTACCTTCGGCGTTCTAATGTACGCCTTCGGCACGTCGCTGCTGAGGTCGGTCGTTTACGACCTCTCCGGCTCCCCTAGTTTGGCCTTCCGCGTTCAAGGTCCTCAGTTCGGCCTCCAATGTCGCCATCCTTTGGGCATCCATACGCTGCTGGGTCAGGAATCTGTTTTCCATCTCTTGCAACCTTTGAAGGATTGCTATCATGGCCATGTTTGTCACGTTTGGTGGCTCACTGTGTGGAGGCGGACGAACAACAGCAATTGTTGCATTCGGCTGAGGTCTGGGAGTCGGTCCTTGTGTTCCGACCTCGCCGACCTGTACCTCAACCAGCACCGGGTTTGCTTCCAATTGGGGCTGTTCCGATGCAGGCTGGTGTTGAGGCATGCCATAAGGCTGAGACTGTGGTTGACGCGGTGGTACTTGGGAGGTACTAGACATCGAACGTGTGTTCGTCATCGTGGAATGGGAATCAAAATTTATCGTTCCCACAGACGGCGCCAATGTTAGGTCCTGGATAGACCGTATTGCTATATCGTATGGTATGCGCTCAAAGATAGTGTATATCAAGTGTATACTAGGCTTATAGCCGAGGTCCCAATCACTGCGCACAAGCAATAGGCTTATAGCCAAGGGGTGGGTGTGTGCACAGTGTGGGCAGTATTAGTAAATAGGTTCTAAGTGTTTACCTGGGGTCCTTAGGCTCTTATTTATAGGATTACCTTCATAGGATTGTGCCTTTTGAGATCCCCCAATTGTAGTAGGATTCCACCTCCTTCTGTTGGGATGTGATCCTTATCTTATATCCTCTGGCTGTTTGGAGTTGTTGAGATGTTGCTGATTCCATATCTCACTAGATATTCTAGTAGGTAGTTGGGATATGATATGCATATCCATAACAGCAATGATCATTAATTATTACATATTCTTTTATGACTTTTATGTGGGATTAGTGCAATTGTTATAGAATTTATGATAACTTTTTTCCTTTATTGTATATTAAAATCAATCAAATTTATGATTGTTTATACAGGATGCAAATCAATTAATCACTGATTATGTTGCTTCTTCCATATTGAATTACATCCTCTCTGTCCAATCCCCACGTACTTTAGCCCTAGAAAACCCAGCTGTATAACTTTGCCATCAGTATTATATATAACTAGCTCTTCCTTTGACATTTACCACAAATCTGTCATTCATCCAAGTTTGTTCTTTTCAACAAACTGAAAATATGTCTCCACAAAGTGTAGTTCTTCCATTTCTCTTTTTTTTCTTCTCATTTGGCGGCTTTTCTTTTGGCTCTTTACTGGATTACACACGGTTTCAAATAGGTTATCCACGTTACTCGTGGCCTGGGAGGCTGGAGAAGTCAAAATATGAACGTTTTGGCTTCACCACTTGGGCTGATCGATTCACCCCATCTTCACTGTCTCAAAGTCAATTCACCCCATCTTCTTTATCTCAAAGAATGGCAAATGTGAATGACTTTGGAGCCAAACCAAACGATGATGGAGATGATACTCAGGTAACGTAACAACAACAACATGATAAACATGACATATATATATATATATATATATATATATATATATATATATATATATATATATTCAATAGTCCATTTCTCAATCTCTTAACCTTTTTTTTTAATTGTGCTTTAGGCACTTGAGAAGGCATGGAATGCGGCATGTTCTACAGGGAATGTTCTTTTGGTCCCTGAAAACAGTTTCTACTATCTAAAGTCAATAACATTTTTAGGCCCATGTAAACTAAATATTGCCTTTACGGTGAGATATATGTTCAAAAGCAATGTTTATTGATAAATCATTTGTTTATCACTGGTAGTTCATTCTAATATTATTCTGTGTTTCCTGCGTCTTCATGTTAGATCCGTGGAACAATCATTGCATGGCCTGATATGTCAGCATACGAAAACACAGGAAAAAGTGGCCTCAAATATTGGATTATGTTTGATGGTATCACGAATCTCAGAGTTGATGGAGGCGGCCTCATCTATGGGAATGGCAAGAAATGGTGGATGAACTCTTGCAAAATAAACAAAAACCTTGTAAGTTATTGAAGTTTGACTCTATTGACTAAAACTCCTATTCCATTTTTACATTGTTCTGTTGGATTTATCTCCGCTAAATCATAGAATAATTAATATTTGAATAACCATTGATAATTATTATTATTATTTTTGCAATAAATATTGAATTTTAAAGAACACATATATATGACTATCCCATATTTAAATCTTTCTTGATTTTTAATTTATTGATTTTCAATACTGACCGTTATTTCTTTACTCTCCTCCTTTTGTTTCACAGTCATGCAAAGATGCGCCAACTGTAAGTACTTAATGTTCTTCATAACATAAAGCTTGAACTATTATAATTTAACAATGCATGGTGCTCTATTTTCATACTAACTTTTTTTTTTCCTGGAAAATTTGTTGCATAGGCTGTGACTTTCGTTGAATGCAACTCCTTGAGAGTGGCAAACCTGAAGTCAAAAAATGCACAACAAATGCATTTTCGTATCCAGAGATGCAAGAATGTTAGGGTTAGGGATATGGTGATTACAGCACCAGAGGACAGCCCTAACACTGATGGTATTCATGTCACGGAGACTCAGGATATCATCATAAGCGACTGTAATATTATGACAGGTAAAAGTGAAGATCAACACAAAAAATATATTAAATAAAAAAATTCACTTGAATTTTAAAATTTCTAATTTTTTTTTCCCACTACTTTATTGAAGGTGATGACTGTATTTCCATAGTAAGTGGGTCCCAACAAGTTCGAGCTATAAATATTACTTGCGGACCAGGACATGGAATCAGGTTTATGATTTATATCACAAACATCTCTAAGTTGCAGTTTTGTTTAGATTAATTTTTAATTGTTTGGTTAAATGTATTGATGTTGTTATTACTGTGCAGCATTGGAAGCTTAGGGGCTGATAATTCAGAAGCTGAAGTCTTTGATGTGCTAGTGAACAGTTCCACCTTAATAGGAACTGACAATGGAGTGAGGATAAAGACTTGGCAGGTATAAGTGTTTGACTTTGCTATTTGGCACTCTATATCATTCCAAACGGTTGAAAATAGAGGCTTAATTATTAATATAAACTGCAAAAAGCATAATTGAAGTTGCCAACATAATTTTTGGCTTTACCAAAGTATAATGACATGACAATCAAAATGGGAAAACTCATTATGCACAATGTCGCATAAGTCATATTACATTTTCTATAATGTAATGCCTAATACTAAACATGTTTCCTGTAAGAGATTTTTTCCATACATGGGTGCATAAATTTAATCTGCACTAAACAAATAAAATTAAAAAAGATTGTTCCTAATACCCTTGTTAAATGTGAAGGGTATTTATTTTGAAAGATGAGAGGTGTTTTATTCATGTTATATATCTTATTTATTTATTTTTTCTCTATCTCAACACAGGGAGGTTCTGGTTTTGCAAGAAACATAAGATTTATGAACATAGAGATGCAAAATGTGTATAATCCCATATTCATAGATCAAAAGTACTGTGACCAGTCAACTCCATGCCCAGAGCAGGTGATTACTAAATGTTCTCGAACTGCATGTCCTTTATATAGACCAATTG